CATCTTAACTTCTTAAAGTGTTAAACGTTTCTCTAATCTATAAACCAACTTCTGTCTAATATTTTAAGCTGTTAAAATCTTAAACTTTTCTAATTGTAGATAGGCTTTTTTTTATTTAGCAACATATTAACTTCCGAGCAGAGCAAGCTATGTACTGTGACGAAAAGGCTCTCATGTTGCACAACATGTTTATTTCATGTTGAAGGCTATAAATTACGATAATCAGACGACTTATGCTCGATAAAACGGTGCATATTTTCATCTATAAGTCGAACACTAACCCCAAGTCTCACCTAAAATCACGTTTACGCGATACATTTCCCATCTACTACGCCAGACTTCGATATAATAACTACTGTTCCATTACGCACAGAAAAGTCTATAATTTTCGGAAGTTAATATGTTGCTAAGTAAAAAAAAGTCTATCTACAAATAGAAAAGTTTAAGATTTTAACAGCTTAAAATATTACACAGAAGTTGGTTTATAGATTAGAGAAACGTTTAACACTTTAAGAAGTTAAGATGTTACACAAAAATCGGTCTGCATTCTTATTAACTAGACGAAACTAGAAGGCATGTGATGAGCAGGCTGATTCACACATTACGCATGTTAAAAAACACCTATCGGTTTGAATACTTCAAAACCAGGTTGTTGTGTTTTGCTTAATTAAATCAGAATATCCACGTGGCATGTTTTGTTTCCTGATTTATTATCTGTTGTCTACTAAGTAAGTTTACCGTAACCTTGATCTCATTCTAATCTTATGAGGTGTGCAAACTTGGCAACCTTTTGGAGAGAGAGAGAGGTAAGACAGCACGTGTTTGCGGCACGCGCCTTGTGCAAGGGGTCTGGGGGGTATGCTCCCCCTGAAAAATCTGAAAAACAATCATAGTGAAGTAATGCCATTTCCTGCATTTTAGACAATATAATAACTGCAAAAAAACGTTTCTCTTCTGTGTACCATTGAAAAAATAATAATAAAAAATAGCTGATATTTTGTGAAACAGTCTGATTACTTTCTACAATTAGGACAAAAATAAAGAAGAAGAAGAAGAAGGACGATAATCAGATTGTAAAGTCTTTTGGTCTGACTTCAACAAAGCATTATGTAGCTAGTCCCCAGGAAAACGAATTAAAAATCTTAGTACATACCTATGTTCTGTAAGAAGCTCTTTTCGAAGACTGCGGCTGGGCCGGATGAACCGGTAGATGGGGCCCCGGGCACGGCGGTTAGTTTGGGGCTTATCCTCTGTGACTGAACTCGACATGGCCGTCGCCCGTTAAAACCGAGGTCAACTGTAACAGATAAAGATCTGACATCCCTTGGAACTGAACCTAATGGTTCCAAGAGAATGACCGAGTGCACCAAATTTCTGTATGAATTTCTTCTCTGTATCTGATTTCTCCACTACACTACAGCTCATACCGACTTGTAGTCAACCTTCATTTTCAACTAGCATCACGCGGCCCGTGTTGAACAGTTCAAAAACCTCTCATTGGTTGTTTAAGCCGTTTACACGGCACCTGACTGGCTGGCTACAGGTGACGTGACACATGTGGTTCACGAACTCGAGCTCCGAGTGAGCGAGAGTTGTAATTGTTATGATGAAAAGAAACAAAAACGACAGTAGAAGCAAATTGAACAGAAAAAAGCTTTTAAGCTGTTTTGGTCTTTTGTACACTTAGCTGTAGATGCTTACAGATAACACAGAAAGTATAGATATAATAAGAATGATATCTTAGTTTTGGTGTACTTGGAGGGTATATTGAAATAGATAGAACTTCAGGTTATACCCACTTCTTTAGATTAGTGATCTTACAGTTACGGTTATGACTCAAAACGACGCACATTTTCTTCACTAAATATGTAGAGGATAATGATAAAAACTTTCTGTGGACTTATCAGTGAACAGTTATAGTGCCACGTGATTATAAAACACATATCTGTCAGTATTTACGATATCGTTATTGTAGGCCTAGCGGATAGATGGCGCTATTTGTGCACCATATTCCAAAATGGCTGACGCTGTAAACTTGGTTGATGCGGAGTTACCGTATTTTTCGGTGTATAAGACGCACTTTTTTACCACAAAATTTAATGTCAAAATCTGCTTGCGTCCTATACACCGAAGGTATAAATAATATATATGTATATATATGATATACACAAGCCATGTGTAAATATATTTAAATAGGCATACATAGTTTAGTTCAATTGAATGTGTTATTTATAACAATATTAGTTTTTTTTTCCTTTAAAAACACAACTATTATAATGCTCCCTAAAT